ATTCTGCAGCTCGTTTTTTGTTGCCCTTGTCACGAGTGACGGTCATTTCACCTCTTCCAACTTTTTCTATTTTTGTGGTTTTGATTGACAGTCTCTTCAGCCTTTCTCTCCTCTTTCTCCCATTTCATTTTGAGCAGAACGCGTAATGTATGAGAGATTCACCATCAGGAGAAAGTCAAGTAGAGACTCAATTATTTCAGTATTTGGATCCTTTGATGGCTGCAAAACAGCTACGTTGAAGTTATGAGACAGTTAACCAAATGCCAGTATACATAAGATCAAGTTTGAATGTGTGATTTAATCCTGTGGCAAAGAAGACCAACTATGTGTTGTAACTTTTTTCTTTTTTACTTTTGTGCCCAATTCTTGTTTGTAAAAAAAAAAAAAAATCACTCAAGTTCTTATTTTAGCAATTTAGAAACTACTCAGAAAGCTCAGAAATAAACAAGTTATCAAATAAAACCTGAAATAAATAGAGACAGTAACATGCAAGTAAATGGTTGATAACCGTTTACAGGTTTTTACATTCATTTAATCTATTTTAATAGTTTGACTCAAAAATAAAAAAAGGTATCAGGTGAATGATGTGACTTTTAGACATTAAATTCAACACAAATACTTTCTCCATGCCCTACTTTTTTCAATACTTATCCAGTTCTGGAAAACATTGACAATAAGTCCCAGACCTTTGCAGGTTTTTTCCCCCACTCTAACGTTGGTGTCCTCGATGTAATCTCTTACCGTCATGGTGTCGATCTTCCCTTTGACCTGCTCGTTCCTTGCCAAGGCTCTCTCCAGACATTCCTTGGTGTACAGCTGTGGGTTTCGGCCTTGGTCGATGTACCTTTGGAAACACAAGGTTTAACATAAAATCATGGTAAGACGTGGCACAGATAAAGCACAAACTCAATGCATTTAGTAGGCCGAATGTTTATTTACTGGTATGAGAGGCGAGTAGTCAATTCATGTTCCATTTGGATGTAAAGAAACACCAGAAAGTGATTATGATCTTAAATTGGATAATTCTGTTATGGAGTTCGGCGTGGTTTTACAAAGCGCCGCAGGTGGCAACTGCTTCGCAGTGATGAATGTATTTTTCCCCTCCTATTGGTATAGAAAGGAAGCTGAATTGTAACAATGTACAACCGAACAAGCTGCGTGACTCACTCGAACACGTCCAGAGGGACGTTGATGTCATGAAGCTGCTTTTGGCACTTATCGATGTCTTGCAGTCCGGATATCATGAAGTTCCTGGAGCGAAAGGTGAATGGAGGGGCTCAACGTGAAGCTTTTTACCGCAAGGCTGTCGTTAAGTGAAGCTAGTCAGAAGCCAACTCACAGTTTCTGGTTCAGGACCGCCTGGCTGCTCGGCTGGAAGTCGCTGACGATGATTCCCAGCTGCCGGATGTTCTCGATGAATTTCTCCAGGTGCTCCTCGAGGTTGTCGAACTTTTCAGCCATTTCGATGCGCTCAACAAATACACCGGCTCCGACAGCGACGCGTCAGAAACGCCGCCACCAAATTACCGGCGTTGACTGTTTAGCCACCCAAGCTAGGAGAAGCGGAACGCCGCTGCGCTTTACGGTCTGCAGCCAGCCAGTCACCGTTGAGAGCCGGCTGCCTACGCAATCGTGTTACCTCGGAAACAAGTGGTAAAGGGTTGTCGTATTGTGTCGCAAAGTGTCGCGCCGCTGGAGAGAAGGACTGCCCTTTGTTAATGAGACGGGTGCGGTTTAGATTTAACACATTTGAAATGATTATGCTTTAAAAATAGCAACTCAGTTACTATTACAGCGCTAAATAAATAAACAAATACGTTTACAGGGTTTCTAAAATATCTGGTGGTGTTTTTATCAAATTCAGAATTTATATTTTATTAAACACATTTAATATAACCAATTAAACTAATAATGAATTAATATGATTAATCCCAGAGGGAAATTAAATATCGTTGTCACTCATAGGCTATTAAAGAGATGCTGAAAGCTGTGGGCTGGAATGATTGCCTGTAGCAGTCAGTATTACAGGGCACCTGAAGAAGCCCTCTGACTGAAGACACTCATGTTGTATAAGAGTTTCACAAAGAGGCCATTCAGGATTGTCCATAAATATTTTTTCATGTAATTAAGAATCCTTCATAAAATTAATAATTATAAGCAATTATTATTGTTGTTAGAAGACATGATTCATATTTCCCTTAAGGAATATCCAATCAAATATTTTTGACTGAATTTATTTATTTATTTTTGATGGATTTTGAACACACTTCATGCTTGAATAGATGAGACAAAAAAAAAAAAAAAAAAACTGAATATTGCACTGTCAGCTAAATTGTTTAGTTGATTATTTTCTAAACAAATTTCCAATAAATTTTTGGCCACTATAATCAATGCTGAAGAGTTCAGAGGCCGTGTACACAAAGTACTTACATTTAGACACTACTCAGTCATCCAGTGATCAGACCTCAGCCAGATCCTGGCATCAACAAAAGGTTTCTAAAAAAAAGATACAAAATCCAAAAAAACAAAACAAAAATAAGCCAAACACTTTCTCTATTTTAAAATCTGATTTTCTAATCTAGCTCTACATTTTATATATCCATTTGAAATTTCTAATATGAAATTACAAACTAAATATTGACTGCAGACATTTTTCCTGCACATAACCCATGAAGTAAAACCAAACGACAGAAGTAAACATTGACCTGTTTGACATAAATAGGAAGCACTTGTTTGCTTTTATTCGTACTGTTTGGTGAAACTGGCTCCAGAATCCTTCCTGCCCTTTGCTGAGCTCCAGAACAACGCTGAGCCTTCGCTGCATTGCTATTTCCCATTCTGAAGTGCACTGGGACCCACTGAGTTGGGAACAAAACCAAAAGACTTACAGTGAAAGTTTGTGAAGTTGACATTGCGTGATTTTGCCTTGATAGTTCCCTTCCTGCCAAAAACATGGTTTCAAAGAAACATCCCAGATAAGCCGAGCTGAACAGGACGCCAGCTGTCCTTTGAAATCAAACTAAGGCCAGTGGACACCAAAGACTTTCTGGGCCCCCCTATGGATTACAATTAGGGATGCACCGATCAGGTTTTTTGCTGCCGATTTTTGCTGGTTCTAATTGGCTGGTTCTGATTGGCCAGCTGATAAGTGCTGGTTCTGATTGGTTGTTTCTGACTGGCCGGAGTTATTCTGCAGAACACAGGAGGACGGAGAGGAGATTGATTAGTATTACTATTTTTTATAAATTTTCTCTCATGTTTGGACATAGTGAAAGTTTTAACATGTAAAATCTTTGTGGTTGTTATTGTTTACGTTACGCAGAAGTTCTGAGTGGAGCAGAACTTCCACCTCGAGCTCCAAGACTTGAATTATTTGTTTAGCTTTCTGATCGTGATGCTGATCAGGCTGAGTGTTGGTAGTTGTGCGCTGCTGTACCTGCTGTCTGGCCGCTCTGGATGTTATTTTTCCCTTACGTTGAGCTTTGATATAGCCAAACTTCGTCAAGTGCTTGTTTTTTAAATGTCATATTAGATTTGTCCTGCTGAGGCGTTGTGACGCACTTCACCCCCAAGGTAATTTCCTGCCGTAACACGCCAACGTCCCCATTCACTCTGAGAGCCTTAGAGTTCCTCACGACAGGATTTGTTGCTGTGCGCAGGCTGCGAGGTGAGATACGGGCGATCGCTTTGGTGATCGGCAACAAGAGACAGTGATCGGCGATCACCGATCATACACTTCTTCGCGGAAATTGGCCGATTACGATTGGTGGCCGATCAATCAGTGGCCAATCAATCGGTACATTAATTAGAGGGGTGCCAAAAAATAAAAAAACAATCAACTGGGCACACACATCGTTCAACCAGACATGAACCTAGACACACGTTTTGTTTTCAAACTTCACTGAAGTTTATTTTACACTTCAAGTTGCAACAAAACACGCTACAAACCATCTTTACAGTGAAACACTTTTATGTAACTGTTTCTTTTTCTTTTTATCCATCCATACTGCTTTCCGTGATCCCCTTTCAATCGCACCACACCCCCTACAGGGGGCAGGCCCCAGACTTTGGGAACCACTGAACTAAGGAAAGATCGTGCTGCTAGATTGAGATATTTGGGAGCCTTAAATGTCCAAATGTCCATGAGTGCTTTTAGTCCAGTAACAAATTAGAAACCCATTCAATAAATCAAAATATTGCTGAAAACCCATTTATTTCACCTTAAACACATACATGGATGTTTGAAAACTACAGTCATTTTCCACTTACAGGTAATGAAACGATGACATTTAAAATTTGAAAATGACATCAAAGCAATTAAAGAAAGGTACTTTCAATCTGACAAACGAAGGTCGTTTGAACAAATCTTCAAATTTATTGAACGTGATTGTTCAATAAAATGTTAGTTGATATATATTTAATGTACTTCTCTGTTTTATTTTCCCACACTCATCCAGACTTGCAAACAGAGCCGGCCTGAGGCATATGCGATGTAAGCGGCTGCTTAGCATGTCCCGCGCCTCCAAAACCACCAGGGGGCTCTCCAGAACATCAATTTAGTTCGCACATTTTCCACAGTCTACACATCTGTTCCAAATAAAAAAATTTAAAAAACATTAAACCTGCCAACCTGTTTACTGTAAATTAAGCGCTTCTCCAATTAATTGAGCATCTTTTATTGTTTGCTACTCCTGCAAGGTTCTGATCAGTAGTAACTTGTCAAACCGAAATGTCATCTGCTGTTGGCATGTAGGGCCCCAAATTAAAATACTTAAAATACCCCCCAAAATACTTGTGGACAGCCCTGGGTGGAAACCCTTAAATTTACTTCCAGTCTTTTCCAGGCTCTAAAGGAACCCAAAGGCTTTTATTTTGAAAAGCAGTACTCCCACCGGTGAGCACAGAGAGAGGAGAAGGATTTACTGTGTGTGTGTGTGTGTGCGCGCGCGCGCATGTGTGTATGTGTGTTTCATCCACGGCTGCATTAAAGCAGGAGCTGCTGCAGCTGCACACACACCTCGAACTTCCTCCTCCTCCTCTCTCTCTTTTTACCTCCTCCTCTTCTTCATCACTGCAGCTCTCCGACGGCAGGTCCACTGGATGGTGGAGACCTTTTATTCCTCCCTTCATCATACACAGAGAGAGAGAGAGAGAGAGAGAGAGAGAGAGAGAGAGAGAGAGAGAGAGAGAGAGAGAGAGAGCGCTGTCCGGGCTGTAGTTCGGGACGCGCGGGGGACTCCACGCATTCTCCGGATTTCAGTGGACCTCGGTCACCTCAGACTCCCTCTCCATCTGCCGGACTGCTGCTGCTTTCAAAGTGGCGGCTGTGTTTGAGGCGGAGCGAGAAGAGCGGACAACTTGACTATAGGCAATAGAACCGATTGGATGAGAGGCCTGATGTGGATTTGTCAGAGGTACAGGCGATGATTTTTATTTATCTATTTATGAATTTATTTAGTTGAATCGTGATCGATTTAAAATGACTATTGGGCTTTTTTTTTTGTAGTAGACATTCGTTCATTATATTCCTTTGCCTTCCTGTCACCATGACATCATCTTCCTTTGATTATTTTTTCCCTTTTGTACGCGCTGACGATGAATCGCGCACCGTCCTGCAGAAATGGATTATCACCTAATTGCTTCTGCGGAACGCATCGTCCTATCGTGACACAACTGCGGTCATAATGTGCGATCGGTTTATGTGAGGGAGGGAGGCGGGTCAGGTCGGATGTTCTGCTTGGTGGTGTTAGTGGATTTAATTGTCTCGATGGTGTTTTTCTCCCTGCAGATGAACCGCGTCGAGACGATGCGCTGAGACGCAAACGGCCCCCAGGCTCTCCGGTTGTGCGCTCATCCAGAGGCTACAGCGAACCGAGAGAGAGAGAGAGAGGGAGAGAGGGGGGTGGACTGCGGAAGAAAAGAGAGAGGGGAAGAAAAAGAAGAAGAAAAAACCCCACACACAAGAGGTTTCTGATCCGTAAAGGTTGTGCCTGACTCCAAACAGGAGCGAGTCTCGCCCCTGGAACAGGGGGCGGATCAGCGGAGGGGAAGACGTCTATCCAAACGATGGCCACCCTACTGCGGAAGATCGGTCTGATCCGTCTGCACGACCGAGACACGGAGGATCCGAAGCACCACCAGGGCTCGCTGAAGGGGACGAAGGGGAACCAGAAGAACAACGCCAACAAACACTGTCAGACCGCCAACGAGACCAACCTGCTGAGCACCCCGGAGATCAAGGCGAGGAAGCTGGACCAGCACGGCAAGGACAAGCCGGCCGGCAAAGACAAGCAGGGCAAGGATGCGAAGGAGAAGCAGCAGACGGTGGGAGGTGGAGGAGGAGGAGGAAGCGGTGGTGGTGGAGGAGGAGGAGGAGGAGGCGGCGGGAGCAAAGCCTCCAGCGCCTCCTCCGTGCCGCCGCTGGCGCCTCACCGGCAGCACTGCACCCAGGTGCGGACGCGGCGGCTGATGAAGGAGCTGCAGGAGATCCGGAGGTTAGGGGACAACTTCATCACGGTGGAGCTGGTGGAGGACAACCTGTTCGACTGGAACGTCAAGCTGCACCAGGTGGACAAGGACTCGGCGCTGTGGCAGGACATGAAGGAGACCAGCACCGAGTTCATCCTGCTCAACGTCACCTTCCCCGACAACTTCCCCTTCTCGCCGCCGTTCATGCGGGTCCTCACGCCGCGCCTGGAGAACGGCTACGTGCTGGACGGCGGCGCCATCTGCATGGAGCTGCTGACCCCCCGCGGGTGGTCCAGCGCCTACACGGTGGAGGCGGTGATGAGGCAGTTCGCTGCCAGCCTGGTAAAAGGACAGGTGAGCGGGGGTCGGTGCTCAGGGCGTCCATCCGACACATTAATCATCTCTGCGGCAGTTCGTGCAGGAAAAAAAAATGTACTTTGAATGTATTTTTTAATACGGAGGGTAACAATGCACACCAAACCATATAGTGTGGTGTGCATTTCGATTTGTTTTCATGTTGTTTTGTGTCTCAATGGCCACACTAACCCCTCTAGCTAGACGGTCTTATCAGTATAATATGGCTTATTGACATACGTTTAAGGTTAGAGGGTACATGATTTAATAAATTGCAATGACTAAAAACAATTTCCATTGACAGTGGCTCTGAAATGACCTTAATGCAAGAGCTTTCAAAATGGAAAAATCAGCATGGTGAGAAGTAACTGACCAACTCCCATCTGGCCTTCACCATGTGATGACATTGCATGATCACAGAAAGTTCTGTTGTCGCCGATAATCTGGTGTGCCATGGAGATCATCAGGGGCCCCAGCTGGCCACCTTGAGGCACCCCTGAACAGAATCCTTTGACCAGATCCAAAATCTCCTGCAAGTTGTCGTCACATGTGGACCACCCAATAAACGTGTGATGGAACAGCGAAATACCGCACATCATGGCTTCTATGAGGTTAAATTGGATACGACTTTAAGGGGAAACTAAAATACTCAGTTCATATTTTCAAGTTCCTGCAGTGTATTCAGAACATGGCTCTGGGTCAGTTTGCCCCATCAGCAACTCTGCACCCACTGGTTGCCATTTTTATTCCCAGATTGCACTATTTACCAAACATTTCATACCTCTGTATGTGCAGAGACAATTTATTTGTCATCGATTATTTATTTTAGTTTTTGTGAAGAGTTTATATGACATGCTATTTCCATATATTGTGGTTCTGATCTCCATTTAAGTAGGTCTGTTCACTGTCATGAAATTTCTCAGATTAGGGCCGTTGTTCAAACCAATTTAACTCTTAAGTGACCCACTGATGGTAGATATTATTCACTGGATTCATAAAGTCATATTTTCTTGTACTAGATTAGGGAAAATACTGGATGAAATCAGTTTGTTTTCCAGCTGCCAAAGTGGTCACAAAACATCTTGTTGATGGTTGTGAATTGGTGTAGGGTCAGTAGAATACCTCCCATACCAGACATCTCTATTATGAACCCAGAAAAAGTACAAACTGGCAAAAGGGTGAACTGACCAGCACCCACCAAACGTCAGTTCATATGGTCGGTTAGCAAATGCTTATTTAGTCATCTAGGTCCATTTTTGGCCTAAACAAATCATCCTTTTATAGCACCAAAGTTTTTTTTCAAATACTTTTTAGGAGACAGAATGTATTTCCGGATGGGGCAGAACAGGTGGGTACGATATTTTGACGTAGCGGGTTTTCAAGAATAACAGTGAGTTAAAAAATTTAATAATTTTTTTTACAAAGGTCTATAAATATTGTCATTAGCTCCCCTTTTCTCTGCATTCGGGGTTTTCTGAACATTCAGTTTAGTACCCGCATCAGTGTAGATGTGGGTACTAAACTGAATGATAAATCAATCAATCTATAACTCAAGAATAAGCAACCAGCTTAAAATGAGGAGTCAACCATATTTCTGACAGCTTCCCAAATTTACAAATTTGTCTTAAAAACTCAGAATATCATCACATGAGTCTAATTTTACCATTACTCTTTAAAATAAATCAAACAGGTTTGCTCCTTTGTATATCTTCCGTACCTCCATTTATTAACGTTAGGTAGCTTCATACTACTCAGGGCTTGTTTCTCCTCCAAATAAAGCCAGGACTGTAGCACATATTAAATTTCTGTGACTTTTTGGCAGCCATTTCATGCAGTGCATCCATGCTGGCTCTCCTCTCATCACCTCCATAAATCAGCAGGTTTTGGCTACAAAGACCCGCCGCCAAGACACAAAAACATCCACCTGTGGTTTTCCACCACGCTTCTCATGAGCATTCGCTCTTAGCATTGGGCTAAAATAAAGCGATTTATTCAACACGTGACGATGGACGGAGAGGCAGATGGAGGCGTACCGACAGCTGTGATTTAGGCTGACTGAATTATGTAATCTTGCCAAATCTGTTTTTCATATCCCCTGAGCGATGGGCAGCGGCGCACAGCAGCAACTCCGCGGTTCCGGTGAAAACGGCAGCCAGGACTTGCGCGCTCAAAAGCTACGTTTTGAAACGGACATGTTTCTGCAACGCGTTCCCATAAGTTCATGCTGAGACCGCTCTTGTTGTTGTTGTTGTTTTCTCTCCCTTGCTTTGCTCTGAGCGCTTTGGTGTTAGATCTCTCAGAAAGTGTCATGGAGTCTCTCCCATCCTCCGCCCCCACCATCCCACAGCTTTGGTGACATAACGCAGCATTATTCCAGAGTCATCTGTGGTCATAAAGCACGTGTGTTCAAGAGAGGTCATGCAGAAGCTGTGCCCACTTCAGAGAGACCGAGAGAAAGATGTGTGCGCCAGTGTTTCTGTGCGTTGATCTGGACTTGCTGCTTGAGGAGATGAGCAAGCAGCTTTGGAGCGTTCACTAATTATGGTTCGGCGTCTTCCTTCTTCTCTGCTTTGCTAATGGAAACAATATTGATTAATTATTCCTGTGTGTGTGTGGATTGCTTTATCTCTTTGTTGACGTGTCTACATCAGCACTTGGGATGGGCTGCGTCCTGATTACCCAGGCGATGCTTTCACCTCCCATGCATCATGTCTGACGGAGCACACGGAGCTCTATATATACACCTGGATACACAGGATATATTTATGTGCCCTTGGCCACAGGTTCCATGTGACAATAGTGATGGTGCCTATTTAGAAAGTTCCTGCCTATTTTTAGTGTGAGAGGATACATGCGGTGACACAGTGGCGAGTCAAGAGTCAACACAGTCCCTTCGCAAGCAGACGCACGCACGGTTCCACGTGCTGATGTTTGTGGACGGGTACCTAACTTCCGGTTAGGAATCCAATTATGTTCCCTGTGTCTGGGTAAACAAAGCCCCCATCAGCCCCCTGTTGGTGTGCAGAAGGTAGAAACCTCCAGTCTGGGGAGCACAAACGCAGCCGAGGTGTCTTTGCAACACAATCCAATTTGGAAATACGATCTGTGCTGCTGCGTTGTTGTGAGTGCACAAGTGTTCAACGGTACACCTGTGTACGGAGTTGCGCAATAGTTAATCTGTTACAGTGCGACCAGCTCCCCTGTCCTGTCACTCTTTGCTGCAGACAGATCCTAATAGAGTTTTTATGCAGCATATTTAAACTCCAAACCACTGACTCGAGAAATGTCAGACAGGCGTAAAAACGGCTTGGTGCTTGGATGTACGTTTTCAGCGGAAATTAAATTAATTTGGCTGTCACAGTATTTCTTTTTTTTTTGACTGCCGCATATGTTGGCTTATTTAAGTACATGTCAATTTGAATGTGCTGCCATTTTGGACAGGGTGTTTGTATTGGTAGGATGGGGGTAACATTCCTCGTTCTGTGTCCAGGCAGGGTATGCTATCTTCTTATGATGGAAGCTCAATGCTTCTTAAACTGTGAGAGTCACCTCAAGTGCCCAAATAATTATTGGTCAAACAGCACAATATGAGCTCAGTTTGTAAATCTTCATTGGTACAGACTGCGCATTTGCGTGCTTTAGCATGAGATAAAAGTGTAACACTTTAAGAAGTGACAGTTGTGTAAACTGCGTAGCAGTGACACTTATGTGTGGTGAATATTACATCCCATAGTTTATTTTGGTACGTTACCAAAATTTGTGGCAGCATGGCTTAGTCAGTGATTAAAATGCATGTGCTGCGTTCATCGAAAACAAATTCATCGAAAGGTGATATTGAATAGCTGTTTTCTTAAAGCTACATATAGTTACAAACTATTGAAGCCTCATGCTGGTATGCAATAGTTTGATGGTAGTACAATATTGCGTGACTGTAAAATCACAAAGTATGTCTTTGACGGATTGCTTACAGTATGTATGGTGTAGCTGAAGATCAAACATGTCAGATCTCACTGTCTAAAACTGCAGCCTCAAGATTTTTATGGCAATGATTTAAGAGTTGCACCTTTTCATGGGGACAAAATTTTCAATATTCAGTCTTGACTTTTAGAGTTTAACATAGTTGAGGCAATGTTGCCTTGCAGCAAGAAGGTTCTGGGTTGAATTCCAACCCTTCTGTATGAAGTTTGCTTGTTCTTTTCTTGCACAAATATGTTCTCTGGAATTTTCCTACAGTCCAAAACTATGACTGTTCAATTGGTCACTCTAAATTGTCTTTAAGCGTGTTTGTGAACATGTTATGAATCTGTCCAGGTTGAACTCCGAATCCCACACCCTGAACCCCTTCAAGGACCAGTGGGTGTAGATAATGGGTTGAATGTAGTTGGTTTTCTTTTTTAAGTCTACTGCACTAAATACACTTCAAAATACTAAAAATGTAACTTCCAGATAAATGGATAGTGGTGGCAATAATCCTGAAGAGGGGATAGAGTGACTACAGTTTCTGATCCGGCTAAATTTAGTGCGTATTCTGCCAGTTTTACTTCTTCTGCCTTTTCACTAAACTGGATATGACAGAGATAATTGTAAAGTGCCTTATCAGGAAGCTACAGATGGTGTCTTTCAATAAAACGCTGGTTTTCCTAGAGCACCTTTCCTTTGCATTGACATGCTGCAGAAAAGATGACATTGCCATCCATCTAAACAACATTTAGTTGACTCAAAAGCGAAATGTGAATGTGATATGTGCGTTTAAATTTGGTTTGGATGTGGCAGATGCTTCGATCAGATTAGGAAACCAAGCCTGACTTTTAACATAACTTAAAAAGTCCAGTTTTTACCAACAATTAAGAATGCTATGAAAGATGTCCATGGACATGTAGAGTGTAAGAGGGACGTTTTGAACAATTATTCTGAATGGCAGTGTTCATATCACAAGTGTTTACCTTCTGATGTCATCAACAGGCCTTGTTTGTAAAATTTGGAAGACACCTTGAGTTAGA